CAACACCACTTTTTGTTATTTAATGGACAACACCCTCTCTAAAGGAACACCTTCCACTCTCGCATTTAGTAGGTGGGGCTGTATTAGGAAGTCCAAGCTAATCATCTTAAGTGTTGCACAGAATTTCCTGGGAGGTGCTGATTCAGCGGGAAAACACACTCCCTTTTCCTCTCTGTGTTGCTTTCTTCCTGCAATCTGGAATGCACAGGAGACAGCTACCATACCAGAAGCTACCATATGATGCTGAAAACCAAAGTCAAGGAAAAGATGTTGAAGAAAGAGGAGAGACCAGTCTCTTAAGATCATGACTACAGCACAGAGCCACAAACTGCTCACGACAGAACTTCTTTTCCAAAAGACAGAAATACATTTCCATGCTATTTAATTCCTTAATGTGTTTGCATCTTTTGGTAAATGCCAATGACATACAATTAAACCCCATGAATGTATTTAACAGTGTAAAAAACTCTGACCAAAATACTCAAAGCTCCAAAAAGTTGTATTTATACTTAATAGCAAACTTCACCTTATTTCATCCCGAAAGAAACCCATATGTTATTTCCAGAATGAATGTGTAAATGTGGAGATAGACATGAGGAAACTCATGGCTCAAAGAACATAATGCTAATTGGATCATACTGCAGGCAAGGTGAGATGGGCAAGAGAGCGCAGAAAAAATAGAAAAGCTGAGGAAGAATGGAAATCGCTACAGTTCGCTGATGCTAAGCTGTATGCTGTGCACGTACAATACAATGAACCAAGAAATTCTACCTATTATTTACACAGTGACAGATAAAAGAAAATGAGGTGGAGCTCGATAAACAAGCTCTCTTCTAAAGTAGATTTAGACACTATTCATCCCCTTCCTTTCAGCTCAGAAGCCTGGTTAGCTGCCACTGTGAAATAAATTCCAGTCCTCAGAACATTTCGAGGAGGAATAATGTTCAAAACGGGCTCAGGCTTTCTTTTTCTTCTCTTTGAAATTGATTAGGTGTACTTTCAGATGAAAAACTGGTTGGCATCTCAAAGAAGAAAGATTATTTTTAGACAAACACAAAATAGCTAATTTAAGTTGTCCAAATAACGAGAGTACTTAAGATTTGGACTCAGTATTGTAGCTGAGAACCATTATAAATACTTTGCCTGGTGGACCTACAAACAAATCATGCCGTATCAAGTCTTGATTCTTATCAAATCCCACCAAAAGACAATTGATGTTTTAATATTAACTCAACATTTTCTGTTAAGTCAAACTGATTACAAAACAGTAGTGAAATTTGTTTCATAAACTACCTTCAAGAAACGATAAATGGACTAAGACGGTGGAAATATAATCACTGATGAGTGCTCAGGAAGTAATAGACATTAGATTCAGTGCTGGAAAGAAATGTTACATAAGCAGTAATTTAATTTAACTTTTCAATTTAAGGCATGCCTGGTCACATGCAACTCTCTGAAATGAAGCATTTCAACAACTCGCCATGAGTCTGCTTTAGAAGGTAATCTGAAAATCTATAAGAGTGACAAAAAAAAAAAAAAAACTTACTCCGCAACAGCACTTTCTCTAACTGCTAACACACAGAGACGGGCAAATGAGAAGGATTCAGCTCAGTGAGCCACGCTGTGCTGCACACACAGGAGAACTCGCACACCAAACCATTCAAAGGGCTTCGGATCCAGGAGCCACAGTCTTCCTGTGGAAGTCTTTCTATAGCTTACACTTCTCCAAAATACAGTCCAGGCTGTTTTGTATAGAACAGTTTTACACTCCTTTAAAATACTATTAATTGAAACATGTCTGACATTGGCTCCTTTCTTATTAAGTCTCTGATGAAGGAAACAATGGCAAGGACAAACCTGGTGTTTCCTATGTTTTATTTTAATTAAAAAAAAATTTATCTATTTACTAGGTATTTGTGTGGGTATACATGTGTGCACACATGTGCCAGAGAGTCACGAAGCAGTCAGAGGATGACTTGCAGGAGTTGGTTCTCGTCCAGTTTGTGGTTCTGAGGAATTGAACTCAGGCCATTAGGCTTGGCTGCAAGCATCTTTACCTGCTAAAGCCATCTCACGGCTACCTCCTCCAATATATAAAGTTTAAATAACGATTTGGACAGTCCAGTTCTCATAACTAGCTCAGTGACTGTGTTTAAATCCAGAGAGAAACAATAACAGAATGGAAAGAAATTCCAATGCTGCTCTAAAGACAGTAGGCCTCCTTAGAAATTCTGCTAGGGTAAGATATTAGAAGACCACTCACCATGCATGAACTTCAGATTTCCTCAGCTACACAGAGAAGTAATACCTAACTTCAATAGATATTATAATATATTGTCCTTCTATTATTGTCCCTGTCTTGAGGGATATTAGTGTTCATTCAGACTTTTGATATCATTGTACTTATTACCTAAGAAAAATTACAAGGAAACCCAAATTATATAGGTGTTAAGGGAGTGCATTTAGATTTTGTTATACATTGAGAAATATAAAATGCTAAGACACATAAAATGATGATACACAAATGTCCTTCTATGGTTTACTTGGAAGACTGTACAACAGGTTCAAAATACCCTGAAAAGAGTGGCTGTTTCAATATAATTCTGAAAAAAACAACTTCAGATTGCGACAATAGAGGAGAATCACCTTTTGAGTAATTTTTAACTCCCCTCTCAAATGATACAGATCATTTATTGACCCAAAAGTTACAATTCCTTTGTTAAAATGCTGAATGCCTCTAGAACTTTCAGAAAAGAATGGAACATATTTATAGAAGCTATGCTACACATATCATCACACAAATACATCTCAGTGTTCACTTAGGAAAGCACTCAAGACATCTATTTATGAAAGTATCATTAAGCTGCCACAGAACATCTCTTCATGTGTGGGGTCACTACTGTGTCCTCATGATGTAGCTCATATCTGACACATTCTGAGAACTCGAAAATAGGTACCAAATTAATGGCTAGATCAATTTAGTTTTAAAAAGTTGTTATTTATTATGCACTGGAAGCATATATTTTCATGAGAAATTTTCTGAAAACATATATACAGAAATAAATTCAAGTGTCTTCCTTCTATACAGAAAATCTCACAAGATTATATTATGACATACATTATTAGTTTGAAAGACAATATATTAATGTAGTAAACATTTTAAATTTGTGCTGCATTATATACAATGAAGAATATCTTCCCCCAAAGCATATGATGAATGCTGGTGCTGTACTATCAGTAACTCGATTAATAGTGAAAAGAACTAATTTCTACTTTGAACCATGAGCAGTCATATAAACACACACTGAAATCTCAATTAGGAAAAAGTAATGCTATATAGTCAAATGGGTTATAAAGTGGATTAAATGATAGCTATGTAATTCCTAGTTAGGGAACAGTAAGTCTCTTTTGCACTGGGTAAAGTAAAATCAAATCTGCATTAGACTGAGCTGTCTTCAAGTCAATGATATCAAGTTCCAAAAGAAATACATATGTAAGTAGAAACGTATGATGAAACCGAGCAAACCTGCCCACACACCAACAAGCAGCTCTTCAACTTTGTGGGTTTTATTTTAAATAAAAACACCAATTAATGATCCTTAATATATGGAAACAAAACACCAATTAATGATCCTTAATATATGGAAACATAGCAATGGTTAAACCCACTCCTGATATCTGATATAAGCTGTCAGCTACCACCAAGCCTCCCCTATAACTGGTACGATTATTCACTATTCTATCAAGAGCTCTTCCCCATCACCTGTTAAAAAAACCAGAGAGCAGCTGGGCTATTTTACATAATAAGGGACTTGGGTTTCCAAGGCAATGAGGGAGCAGAATCAGAAGCTCTTGGCAGCTGTAAACCAACCCAAGGGCTCCACCCTTTTACTACTGAAGAAAAGTCAGCTGTTGTCCCAACAGCTGGCAAGTAGGTGATGAAAATAAGTATTACCAGCATTGTAGATTTTACATATGAGATGTCCATAGCCAGGAGGCAAAAGACAGTAACAATAAAAGATGTGATAAAAGTGGGAGAGAAACACAGAGAAAGTTCATGAGTGACAATATACAGATGCTAACAAACTGTGGCTGAACTACTTGCAGGATATGACGGAATCCTGGAAACCTGAAATCTCTTTTCCAAATTAAAGATATGTTCCAGAAGATGTTTACTACCCTATCAGAAAGCAAGGAAGCAAATTATCATTTGAACTCCGTCCTCACTCCCCATCTGTCTGCCACTTAATGCTATCACAGTTTGAGGATGTGTTCAAAATAAAGTACGATCATTATGAACAGGAAGGCCTTGTGGCAAATTTTAAGATAGTGGCACTAGTTCCTCTAGCAGGAAGCGTTTTGTGAATGACATTTTTACAGGCACTGGATTGACTTATCAAATCCAGCATAACGTTAACCATGTGCCACACAATGAACAAAGAGACAATTTGAGAAGCATGGACATGGCCTTGGGATTTTTCATGTAATGCCCAACCTAACAACACTGGTTATGGTACACAAAACCAGCACAAAGAAAGAAACTCACTGTGCTGGAGATAATGCCAGGGCAAGACATGGAGGAGCAAGAGGCAGACAACAAAGCTTAGTAAACTGAGGTAACAGCCAGTCCTGAGTTGAAGGATGACTAGGCTTCATCTATTTAAAAAAAAACTTTTAAAAGTGCATTTCAGGAAAAGAACAGCACATGCAAACACAAAGAACATGATAGATGAGAAAGGCAGCAGACAAGGAGACAGGAAGGATTTGCTGAGTAGCACTCAAGGTTCAGCGGAGGCTAAAACCCTTACATGTGTAATAGCACTGATCCACACGTCTATCTGATTTTTCTTCCACTGTCCTTGACAGACCGTCAGAGGAAGCCAAAGGAAAGAGCAAAACTGAATGTGCTGCTGATAGAAGAGGCACCGAGAAGGAGAAGGGAGAGAAACACAATGCCCAAGATGCCACGTCTTCATTGGGCATGGCACAAACCCACTCACCAGTTTTCAGGGCAGTTCTTCAAATCGGCATCTGCGGAAGAGTAAGGAAAAGGAAAAGATTATGTGGAGAATGCCCTATTTAGTAAACTCTTCATTCATCTCTAAACAAATTAGTACACACACACACACACACACACACACACACACACACGAACCCAAAACACTGAGCTTAAAAGACACTAGGCAACGTGAGTGGAGGAAGCAAGAGCTGGAAACAGAGAGAGACACAGAAATCAGAACAGCCCTGTGACCACGGTACACATGCATGCAATGGTAAAGATTATCACTGTGCCCATCACTGTCAGCTACTGTTCAGATCCTGTCCTCTATCTGCCATAGTGCAGAAGTTCCACCCAAAAAGAAACTCGGCTTGAATGGGAGGCTGATTCCATCCGTATGTCTCCAGTTACCCAACTCAAGGCATAGCCCCTTGGATAAAGCCAGAACTGGTTGTGTTTTATACACTTGTTCTTTCACTGCACAACAATCTGATTCGATGCTAGTTTAATTTTCTCATTACCAGAAATTCAAACTCACATAGGAGAGCATAAAATCCATATATTTACCCATGCATATATCTGTTCTTTTATACTAATATAGACCTTGTTTAAAGAAGAAGAAGAAGAAGAAGAAGAAGAAGAAGAAGAAGAAGAGGAGGAGGAGAAGGAGGAGGAGGAGGAGGAAGAAGAGGAAGAAGAGGAAGAAGAAGAAGAAGAAGAAGAAGAAGAAGAAGAAGAAGAAGAAGGAGAAGAAGGAGAAGAAGGAGAAGAAGGAGAAGAAGGAGAAGAAGGAGAAG